AAAACAATGCGATGCAGGGACATCAAAACCACCCAGTGTCAGCAGAAGGAGCTTCCACCCCAACAAGGAAGACAGGTCAAGGGGGACAGCCCCAGTCTGACTTAAATGCTCTTCCTCAGTTCTCAGATCAGAACCTTGGCTAGGGGACGAGGAGGATAGACACTCGTGGAGAAAGGGGAATAGTCAGGGTCAGAGGCTAAGGTGAGACACGGGGAACTGAGAACAGAGAGAGTCTGTACAAGGGCGGGTGGCAGAACCTGTGTCTGCGCAGACCATGGATGTGTGTGTGTGTGTGTGTGGGGTTCTCTTATAACTAGTTGAGCCCCAATTGGAGCCCAGACCAGCGGGGATCTGACTGGGCATAGGTAAAGTGGGGCTCAAACAAGTTTGTGGGAAGTTTTTAGAAACTGTCAGGCCAGGGAGCTTCCTGAGGCTCGAGGTGTGCGGGGAAGGCGCCACAAGGGTGAGGTTTCACAATCTGTTTAAGAGTCCTGGTCCTCGGAGGCCCAGGGAGCCCCAAGATTCGAATTGTTAAAATGAAGGAGCTGTGTGTCAGTAGGCCACGGAGACTGACACAATGGGGCAGGGAGCCGGCTCAGTTAGAGTATTAGTGAAAGGAACAAGAAGGCAGGCTGGAAGCCACCTGGGACTTCGTCAAAGTCCACGGGTGGGATGGGCGCGTCTGTCAGATGGGGCAAGGACCACATCAGGGCCGAGGTGGCCGACGCAAAGTCAGTTTCTGCGGATGAGGGGCCCAGGACCATGGTGGGGCCGCTCTCGGGGTTCCAAGGAGACAAGGAGACATCTGTCAGACGGGGTTAGGGTTCCCGGGGAGTGTTTCCGAAGCCGGGGGCCGGCGAGCGGCGACAGTAGGCCCCGGGCCCGCGCGACTAAAGGGCCGGGAGCCATGGGGGCTCCGAAGACGAGGCGGCGATGGCTGTGCAGGGCCAGACGGACCGCAGACTTTTCCTCCCTGTCCTCCCCGGTGCGGGCTCTTACCGGGCGCGGGCGCGGGCGCCGGCCCGGGCCCCGGCCCCGGCTCGGCC